AAAAGAGTACCGAATGGAATTTCATTGCTCGTTCTTCTCCATTCGAATCTACATTTTGGAACGACCACCTAGCTTCACCGCCGACCAGATAGACCGTATTATTTATTTTATATTTGTTGACGTTTCAAAATTACAAAATTTTGGTTTAATTAAAATAAATAGGAAAATAAACTTAATTAGCTTGAATGATTCGAACTGTTAAATCTAACACGTGCACGTGGTGATTATTGCAAATCCAGTGTCCAGTAGTTAATCGTTAACATAGATGTATAATGAAAGAGTGTTGTTCTATTGTATCATAGTGTTGGACAATGTGATGTCACTACAAACCCTTTTTAAGATTCATAACGGTTTGCTAATCATCTAGAATATTTTGTAGCCGTAAACACGGACTTTTAAATGGAGTTCGATCGCATTTTCGTCCGTCATTGGTCGAGAATATTCACACAACCAATGACATGGGGAGAAAGCTGTCGATTAAACTACTTCAATTTTCCAAATTAAGAGTATCAAATAGCCTAGCAGCTCCATCACTGTATATCGCAGGCTCCGTCTGTATATAAAAGTATTTGAGTATAATTAATAGTAAAAATACAGGACAGCAGTAAAAAGTATCTTATCGAATCTATCTATATAAATAAATATGAATTTCCGTTCGTTAGTCTTGCTAAAACTCGAGAACGACTGAATCGATTTGGCTAATTTGGATCATAAAATATTTGTGTCAGTCCAGGGTAAAAGGTGCGGTAAAAAATTAAAGGCGGTACGAAGTTTGCCGGGTCACCTAGTTGATTAATAAAACTAAAATTGTTTACTACTAAACTACAAATTACCTTTACAGATCAAATTACAATGAAAATCTCGTAATACTTATTTCTTTAAAGTCAGTTATTCATATTATTAACCCGGAAGAGGCAGAGCAGAACGTGGAGGAGTACCGTGAACTCATGTTACGAAAACTGCCTTAAAGTCCCCTTGAGAATTCAAGTGCTTTTCACAAGAACGCTAATATCCCTTACTTATACCGTAAAGCGAAGAAAATATAAATAAGAACCTTAATTAGTACGTATTATGTGTCATTTTGTAATTTGACTTTTGTAAGTGCGTTATTAGGTTACTTCAAAGCTGTATATGTACCACATATCACGTGTTTTATTTCTTGGAGAAATACAGAAGCGCTTGGTTGTTTAATATATTCATTTTTAAGCGACTTCAAAAAAGGAGGTCTTGGTTTGGCCTCTCGATTGGCGCAACCGATTTTGATACAGTTTTTAAAAAAGTGTTTGTTACGCTCAGGAAAAGGTTTTGGTATATTAATTAACCGACTTCAAAAAAGAGGGTTGAAGTCGGTTTCTTTTTAAATATAGCGTATAAAATGATTAAATAAATATTTAAGTATCTGGTCGTGATCCACAGTCACACTCGACGTGCAATAATTTAAAACAAAATCTATTCTAAAAGTATTAGGTACTATTTGTTTTTATCGTAACTAGGGTAAGTGTTCAAAAACTTTACAATTTTCTTCGTCGTACTCGTTACATTCAAAATAAACTTTTAGAGTAGGTAAGTACACGTGAATTTAAAAACTTATATTGGTACTTGTTCACTTACCGTCTAGTATTTCCATAGTTCGGAAATGAGTTCGTTCACCTAAAACTACTTCAGACAATACTTTTATAACTTTTACGAATATTCGACATAGAATTGCTTATAATAAGGTTTACTATTAATAGTATCTTCTTAGAACTTCTTCGGGTGAATGTTCAGGTAGGAGTATATCGCTATAAGTGTCATTATTAAACTTATTCACAAATAGATTTTTTCTTAGGTAAAGTCATCATTGTGAACCCACCAGCGAGCTAAGCTTGGTACCCATTATTACTCACTACATAACATTCAAGTGTCGGAGAGCCATGCTTCGGCGCGAATGGGCCGAATCGACCGGAGTGATCATCATCAACAGCCTATAAATACCCAATTCTGAGCAAAGCCTCTTCTCACACGGAGAAAGTTTGAGCATTAATCACCACGCTTGCTCACTGCGGGTTGGCAATTACAAACTTATAATTACAGATTATAAGCCTAGGTTTTCTCATGATGTTTTCCTTCATCGTTTGTCAGAGGTGTCTAAATAATCTTAGAAAGTACATATAACTCTGAAAAAGTCACATTGGTACTTGCCATTGGTAGGTTTTGAAATCGCACCCTCATGCATGAGAAGCGGGCGTCTTAAACCTCCGGGCCACCATGACCGGAGTGATACCACGGCCTTAAAGAAAACCGACATGAAACATGCTTGCGTTATGTTTCGACGTGTTAGTGAGGTTACCGGCGGCCCAATTAGTCCCCTCCCAAATCTCCCCAATCCCCGAATCCCCAATAATCCTCAAATTCCTAATCCCTAAAAGGCCGATAACGCACTTTTTGGCACGCGTCGATTGCTTACCATCAGGTGATCCATGTGCTCGTTTACCGTATTATTCCATAAAAAAGCATAAAATTGCTCTAATATACTTTTCTCTAAACAACTGTATGTATGGTATTTGTTTGTATTGATGTATCAATCTCAATTTCCTTACCTGCATACCAAATGGCTTGTCTGGCTTTACATTTACAAGAACATAAATTATAGATGAGTACATAAAGATACAACCCAACATAGTTCTGCGAAACCCCACTTTAGAGACTAAAAGCTAGTCTAATTGTGAGCATAAGTATTACATACGCAGTAATAAATATAAAGTAGTCTGCTACCGTAAAATAAAATTGTTCACGTAAGTAGAGCTATTCCAGTAGCAAATGAGATTCCCACAGTAAATGACGGTTCCATGCCTGAGATTCCTACCTCTGATAAACAAGAAAACGGTTTACATGTGCTATAAAAATGCTTTTTTAATCTACACCTTATGTGTTATTCTTTACACATGTTTTTTAATTGGATAGCTGTGTTATAAATTAATTCTATTATAACTTGGATTATTGATTGAAATTGCATTGTAGAACATGTTTTTGTGTTACTGAAAACTTAGCAGTAGGGTTCTCTGATAAACTAGTACTTTTTAAAGCCAGTACAGTATGTACAGGAGCTTGATAGTCCAGCAGAGATGATGATCTTTCCAGAACTGGAATGTTAGGTTAGGTAATCCTCTGATTTGTATCTAGCACAGGAAACGTAATACTACTGAGGAAACGTGGGCCTTATAGTAAAGCTTTAACTAAATCCCTTACGAAATACAAGTGATACAGTTATAAGAAATACACAACCATATTTTATTTCATCTGTATTCACCGCAATAATCTTTTCAATCGCTACGTGCTTGAAAATAAATAAAACTTAAACAGTAAAGGAAATGTGCGCAGATTTTCATTAAAATAAATAATCATTTCGTTAAAATTCTGAATTGGAATAATGCCCAAAATGTCATTCAAGATTGGATGTGGGAACTGTCATAATAGGTACGAAATTAATACAATACGAAGCATTGCCTGCGGGGATCAGAATGTGGAGGCTTTATGCTTTTATTTTTAATGTATTTTTAAAGGATAAATTACATTTATATTTATTTCTATGTTTTAGTTTTTAGTTGTTTTATGATCTTACAAGCCAAAGTAGGTTGTGCGCTAACTTTCAACATACTACGTTTGTTTGTAAGTAATAATTAATTGGTATTTTTAGGAATTAATAGGTCTCTCTTTCCTTCATGACTGAGAATCGCCATCTTGGCATTGTGGCGACGCATGCCACATGTCAACGGATGACGTCACAAGAATTCTACATCGCACATGCAAAGTTTACAAGCGAATAAACACGGATAGAAAATCCCAACGAACAACTGTTGGGCAGAAAGCCCGCCAGGCACGATCACCTCGCCTGGTCGGAGGATCCTCCTTTTCCGATCTTAGGGAACTATACTCTCTGTTCTCTAAAGCATCACTCAGGATCGAACGAATAACGAATTGTCTCCATCAGCCCCTGTCTGTGGCCATATGTATTATGGTGTAGAACCTCGATTCTGGGTTGTCCTTGAGCTGGTCAGATCATCTGGTAGGGTATCATCCTCTTGCCCTTCTCCTATCAACATTTCCCACGACAATGAGCATCCTCTAATTAATCGGTAACTGGTGTCATAATTGGTGTTAAATAATAATGTAATAAGGTGTGTAATAAAAACTACGAAAAATGTTCAAAAGTTCCTTCTGTTTTGTCAACATTTTCCGTACATTGCGGGGTTTATATTTTTATTCTTACCTAGATAAGCGAAGAAGCGGTGCCGTAGACGTTTGGTTATTATGAGCTAAAATAACCTACTTTAGTGTTACTAAGCCACCACCTGTGTAGTCTTTATCTTAGTTTTATTTTCTTATAAGCTGCCTACATTATGGAGACATGGCCATAATGATGTTGATATCAAGCTTTTCGCTATTTTTTTCTTAAGGTGGTGTTGGTTATGAATAAAGTAGATAGACCCAAGGAGTTTGTTTTGCTATATTGTATGGATCGGGACTTTATAAACAAAATAAAACTAACCAAAAATTGGCGCACAAATATCAATCAACCCAGGGCAATACATGCATCAATTGCGTATACAGATCAAACTGCCATGGCTAGTCTGCTCTCTGTGGTTTTCATACAAACTTATTATAGGTATATTTTTCCATGTGAACTGGGCCCGCCATGTCAAACGCCACGCTACGTTAGCTCCGTGGTGTCGAAACCAATGAATCATTTTAAACCGTGAAAATTCAACACAAACTATCCTTAACTCAATTTTCTTTTGTTTCAGATAAAACAACAAAGAAATAAAACAGGAGGCAGTGTCAATGCATCGTATACTACACAAATTACTTTTGTTGCCCGGTATAAATTCGCTGCAGTAAAAGTGTCGCTCGTAACAGTCGCATAACGTTCAGTGTCCCTACGACTTTTGTTTCGTGCTACAAAAGTGGTGTTGTGATGTTTCGACTTTCGCCTATAAAAGGCGGCATTGCCGAAAATTTGGATGTGTATGAAGATGGGCCATAAAAGTGAATTATTTTGCTCCCGCAGTGGCAAGATGCTACTTACGGTGTACGCGGCCCTGCTTCTCTGGAGGATAGACTGCGTCGTCGAGAGCACCAAAGGTAATATCACGTATATTCAATGTACTGAACACGTCACACAGTTTATATCGAATCGTCGAGAAGTTATTACGGTGGCTCCAATTTGGAAGTCGATAGGTTGCGGTGAGGAAAAGTAATAACCAATCATCCGACTGGTGTTTTCTACATTTTATTTCGATTTGATAGGTTAAGGCTGAAGCGAAGATAATTGGTTTTTGTCGGTTTTCATCCCGTGACGGCTTTGTTTTTGGCGACGAAAATACTTTCGATTGACTTTGGGCGGCTAATGGACCTATTGATTAGTTCGGAACGCTCAATCAATTCAAGGTGTATTTGAAGTCGAGAACAAAATTGACAGTTTATTTGGTGAGTTTCACTCGATCTTCGATGAAATTCTATGAATTAAGGACTTGTTTTGTGGCTAGTTTCGTGGAATCTTATTCAATCAGATTTTTGAACGTGACTGTTGTACTAAATCACGTTCGCCTTTTCTAAGGAAAAACAAGAAACAAAATATCTAGAGGTATTTTGTTTCTCGATTTTTCCTGAGCTGCATGTAAAACAAAAAACACGTTCGCGTACACGATCATAACATGGCGAGGAACGCAACAAACTACTAACATATGCATACACGCATACATATGTATGTAGAAACATAAACCAGTAGAGGTGTCCTTCATATCACAAAATATTTTAACCCGCACACCCGCAAAAAATCCCTATCCGTTATTTATACGAATGTGCTTTATGTGTGCCACGGTCAAAATAAAGGGGAAATTTCATATTTTGTATGTATGGCCAGGGACGCAGGCTAGTGCCAGATTTAGAGTAATTTCTGTCTCACGTGTCGGTGATATATTTTATTTGTTTACTAGTGTTGTTAGACAGATGTAACCTTTTAGGCCCAGGGGATTAAGACGGTTTTGCTATAAAATACTCCGGCGAGAAATGTAAATCTGGATATCTAAATATTAAATTGTTATTTCAAATTTACATTTACATTTAATATTAATTTCATAAAAAACCGTAAGCACGTGTTTAAAAACGTAATTTCAAAGAATATTTTAATAAAATGTGACTTAATTAATTCAATTTTCTGTGCGACTGCGTTAGTGTACGCGATGTTTTTCCATTCCGTTTTGAAATTGGAACTTCATATTTACGAAGCTTAATTATTATTTAGAGATATTTCTATGTAGCATTTTGTTTTCCGTGGAACAGCATTTAAACTACATTATTATTGCTTTCAATTCTATGAGAATATAATTGTTAAAGATTTTATTTTATAAATTTACATCTCTTCGGAATGTATGGAATAAAACTTATGCTACTCTATATTTTTATATTGGTCTATTGGTTTGAAGACGTGTAGCAGTGCACGGAAACAAATTATTAGGAATCAGATATTTCTTTATTCGCTTGAATGCGAATATAAGACACAATAGAAAATGCTTTGTATCTCGCATGGATCCACGTTTAGGCACACGACGCGACGAGTTAATCTTTAGTTAACTTTATATTTTATTGCTACGCTATGCTGCAAATTTCATTATGAAAGATCGAAGTAAACTCGATCGCGGTTCGGCATATGATTGGTTGAGAGAATGATCTCGACTAATAATTACTTCGGAAGTTCGAATTGACAGTACCAGAATAGCCTAGCAGTAACACAATACTACAATTACAACAAAGACTAAACTCACTCACTAATAACCTATTTTAACTTTGTGTAACAATTTCAATGTAAACAATAAAACTTTCTACCTCCATATCAAAAACTTGTTCCAAAGGTCACCAACAAAATGTCAACAGAACTTGATTGTACATTTGTAGACAATTCACAAACATGTTGTAGACAATTCACAAACGTGTTGTAAAATGTCTACAACGTAACGAGGGTATCACATACTCTTCAAAGAAAGGTCATAGAGTCATAACCCTGAATTTCTGATACAGTTTGGTATTAATACTATCAATTCAATAATTCAATCTTACAGACATTATAATTATAAATGCGAAAGTTTTTGTGCCGACGTTTGACCACTATCTCGCCTGGTGATAAGCGATGGTGCGGTCTTCGATGGATGACGTCGTCTCATAAGCAACCTATTCACTCGGTTTGTTTGTTTTTTACTCCATCACGTTCCTTATAAGGGCTGAAGAGACCGGAATGTATTAGGAGACTAGATTATAGTTTAGAATAACACATAGGCTACTTTTTATCGCACGGAGACTCAGGCAAAGTCGTTGACAGGAGCTAGAACCTAATAATGTTCTATGTGCGTTAGGTATTTGACACGTTCACGTTTACCACAAGAATTTAGTATCTAGGTAAAAAATACTACTGCTTCATTGGCCGAGTGGTCGCAAGTGCGACTGCGGGCAAGGGGTCTCGGGTTCGATTCCGGGCATTCCGGATTGTCGGGCAAAGTATTACTGGGTTTTTTTTTAAATCTCAGTAGTAGCACGGAGTCTGGAATTGTGCCCGGTATATGGCAATAGAATCACCCCATCATGTTATATATGTAAAATAATAATACGATACGACCTTCAAGAAAAGAGCGTAGGTATTCCTTTTTAAAAGGCCGGCAACGCACCTGTGACTCCTCTGGTGTTACGGGTGTTCATGGGCGGCGCTGATCGCCTACCATCAGGTGATCCGTATGCTCGTTATCATGGGTTCAAATCAAATCAAATCAAATCGTCTTTATTGTGGACTATAGGTATGCATCAGAAATACAGGTCTTAAATAATAAAAAAGTACAGCTATGTCCCGCCGTTGAGGCATACAATATTTATATACAAAACAGAATTTAATGGGTTGTATGCTTTCTCTAAATCAAATCTTTTTTATCACCACCATTACCAATTATCATTGATGTATTAAGATGAAATGTAACAATAGAAACAGTCATAACTATTTCATCAAAGCATCAATTAAGGATTGATGCTTTATACAAATCTTCGAAATTTCTAATCCTTCAGACCACCAAACTACCCTACAGTCTGACATAGATTTCGAAGTCCTACTCAGGGCAACACATCAAGCAATATATACCAGTTTATCATGATCTTACCTTGCGTGATCTTTCCTCACATATATGTACATATCAGTTTATACTGGTTTGTAATAACATGTGACTCAATAATCTCCCACTTGAGTATAAGTAAATTGAAACACACACACACATATGCATAAGTCTATACGTTACTATTATCAGGATTAATTCCCTATATCTATAACCCTTTACTAACAAGCTCCGGAATCTAATTAAAATATGAATTGTTAAATGGTTTAACATTATATTTTGTCTTGAAGGTTAATTAATTTTAAGCGAAGCGACGGTATATGAAATTGTTGTAATAGAAATGTCTTAAAACATTTTCTTGTAAGTAATTAATTTGTTTAACAACACATTAAAGGGAACTAAGTACTTTCGTAGTAGGGTTATTCTCGGAAATAGTCCAAAATTTTGATAAGACTAATTATATCGGTATGTATCAAAGGTGATTTTCGGTAGAATTTTGAAAATTCTACGAAAATGTAGATGAGGTGCTGTGTTCAACTGTATTAAGTTCGTATACAAGTCTAAGTTATGGTTGTGACAAATGGAATACCAGTCCCTCTTTAACGAGTACGATCATTAGAGTAAAACAATAAAGCCGAAAATAAACATAGTTTTCTACTAGACCCGAACTGGCTTGATTCTTATAGCCGCTATTGTAATTATAGCAATCCAAAATATTTTTTTATTACAAGACTAAGGGCCAATTATATCAACATCAGTTAAATTTTATCAGAGAGAATTTCATCCATATTCATCATCATCGTCATCATTAATAGCCTGTTCTCGTCCATTGCTGGACATAGGCCAAAACAAAAAAAAAAACAAACTGTCAAATGTCAATTCAATAGCTAAGAAATTATCTGTTGATTGGAAAATCGGCCCTAAGTTTTCAATAAGACTTAACAACTACTTACCTTGTTGAATTAATGCACTAAAATAAAAACCATCTCCAATTCCTTAGCAAAAGTGCTATACTTAATCATAGTATTGTTTTATAGCGCAATTTAGGAGCAATAAAATTGCGCCGAAGCGGACGAAACCTTGAACTCGCAATACGAAAAACAATAAACACGCCCCTTTATTGCCTAACGTGGGACAACAGTGGGCTATAAACTTACTCCACTAGTGGATACAAATCTGAATTGTGACGTCAGCATTAAACATTCATGTACCTACAGAGCTACTAGCCCACCGCGCAAGGCACGCCCCTGGGACCGACAAAACGTAACGAACCGACCTCCACCATCCTTTTATGTCCCAGATACATTTTTCTGGCTGCCACACACGCCGCTGTCTCCAGATATATTATTTATGTCGTCACACGTCCCTTCCAAATAAAAAGATGTGGTTACTGCCTACAAAGAAAAAATCTTGAAAAAAAAATTGGTGCCTATTTTTTTTTCGTTCCGATACCTATTTCTAACTTCTTCCCGGAGTCAAGTTACAAAGTTTTTATAGTACACAAAAGGCCATTAAATCAATCACGTTTTCAATGAAAACGGTATTAAAGAGAAATCGGAGGAATAGCTTGCTTGCTCACCTTTAGCAAAAAGTCGGTCTGCGGCAAGGCTTTCCACTAATTCTGAATTTAAATGCATGAGATCGAATAGGTTCACGCAGAGTGGATCCCGCGTTGAGTTTTCCGATTGCCTGTGCTTATGTATTTAGGAGAAAAATGGGACTTTAGGTCGTACTTCAGCTTTTACAAAAGACCGTTATCAAAAGAATCTTTTGAATAGATTTACATACGCGCGGGGCGAACGTGTCACCCTCCTTTGTGTCGACTCGAACAATATTGTTTGAATCGATAGATGTGATTAATTTTCCATAGTGTAGCTTAGATCTCATGTTTGTTTATATAAACATATTTTTTCTGTAGAAATCTTTCTTTACGTATTCATAAAAAATATGTGAGGAATATTTTTCTTTCTATTATTATCTTATACACAAAAT